TGGGCGTTGTTTGGCGGAATGTGGATGCATGTGCTGCGGCAAGCCCTGGTTTGATCTTTTCGGTTGGAGTTAGTTGTTGGACCAAAGATCCAAAGCAATCCCAAACGAAGTAAACACGCTGGCACCTCCTGCTCGTTGGCGCGGGCATCGGCCAACTCGTGGCCCAATCGCTGAGTCCAACTGCTGTGGTTGGCGCGGTCATGCTCGGCCTCACGCAAACAGGTCATGTCCAAAAAAATTAAGACTTAGAAACGAACATGTCTTATCTCAGTGGTCCACCCGGTCCGAAGGTCTGCGTTAATTTAAAGTTTAGATCTATTGAAAAGATTTTCCAGTGGGTCGTGGGTAGAACTATGTCATCGCGCTGTGTGTCTACCTCTCCATGCGTGCAAACATTGATGCACACGGAAGACCCAAAACAAAGATGCGTTGATGATCTGCCCATTTGGTTCTAATGTAGGCTCTTGATTAATAAACCCCCCATATGAAAAGCATTTCCAGTTCAAATGGAACGGTTTATTCATCAAGAGTCTACATTACAAGCCCTGATGACGTCATATGACGTCTGTTTCTCCGAACTCTTCGCCTCCCCCACTTCCGCCTGCGCCAAGGAATCACGGGCCGAAAGGAGCTGGACCTGGGCTGTGGAGCGGATCTGCCGACTCCCCGGTGAATTGAGGTGTACCGGTGGTCAATGCAGATTGCGGACGTGCTTCCCATGCTGCGTTTCTGTGCCAAACAGGAAGCTCAGAAACGAAGGGCGCCCGCTTTGGGATGGCAAGTCCTCCTTGCAACCACTTCGAGGTCAACTCTATTAGTCACTGAGATTTGGATGCCCCTCAGCCCTGAACTCATTCTCTTGCTGCCTCACTCAACTAGAATAACCGGGGCTGCACATACACATCTCCAAAACTTGTCACCCACCGGTAATTTGAACCAGAAGAAGAGAGAAACCCCTGCTTGAGCATGTTCCAGAATGGTTGATCCTGAGCAATCAAAAAATAAGCAAACACATGCCACGTCATACTTCTGGACCAATCAATACACACTTCCATGTCCGACAGCCCAAACCTGCACAAAACAAAAACTAAAAAAACAACACTGACAAAACATCACAAACCGTAAAGTATGTGGTACGGACCCCGTCCGGACAGGTGATTGCCATTGGATCTGGTGTTTTTTTCACACCATCTTGAGACCCAACAGGTCGCCACCCAAACCGTCCCCGTGACCCCAAACGACCCCTCACGAGAAAACCGAAGCACCTCTAGGTCTTTCAAGCGTGCTTGTTGCCCGGAACTCATGGCCTCCGAGGCCTTCAGCTCTCCGAGCACCTCGTCATCGTCTCGGTCGTCTCGTCTCACAAAGCTCGCTGCCAATTCGGTCGTTGAAAAAAGCCTGCCCGCCTTCCCCTACTGGTTTTAAGCAGGCGCCGGACCTAGAATGAAGTAAGGGAGAAGTGCGCTCCTAGCGACTTAAGCTACTAGCTAGGACGCAGGATAGCTCACGCTTCAAATTCATTTGGTTCCTGGATGAATACAGTAGTCATACTTGAGTTAGGGGCTTTTACTTAGTTTGCTCGACTTATTCTGGAATTGCATGGCTTGTCTGCAGGGTAGTGCAAAGGAGTTGCAAACATGTGCCAACCTCACAGGATGACACCCACACCCAAAGCAACCACACCCATGAATATTGGAACACACAAATGATGCAGCATAATGCTATCCAAATATATATTGACATTGATGTGCTAATGTCATCTTAGATCTCCGCTGACACCTGCTTTAGGATGTTTAAGGTCACGGTCTTCCTTTCTGACAGGCGGACACCCCCAACCTCGCCCGCCCGCAGCACTGCATGCTGCTCCGCTTCCTCTGAGCGCCTCACACGACGGGGGAACCAGGGAACACGGGAACCACCTGTGAGCTGACCCAGAAAGGCCTGTACAGTACCAGCTACCATCCGAAGGGTGGTTGATAAAGACCCCTCATCATGTGCTTATGGCTTATGGATCATGCCATTCTAGAAGGGTGGTGCTCTACTCTTCTCATTGGTGACCGTCTGTGGAAACGGTCTTCTTAATTGTTTAGTCCATGGTCCACAAAATCAAACGGAGCAACCTTCGAATTCTTTCATCTTCCCGGACCGAAATGGCTTGTGGTCTGCCTCTCCCATCTCGTTCGACCCAGCTTGGGCAGCCTCTCGCAATCGTGCGTTTGACCCAGTGAGCTGGGAAGAAGGAACACGATGCAGTCGAGTGGCTGGTGCTTCACGCGCAGCTCTGCACCCTCAAGGGCAACAGGATTTCCCAAGTGAGTTGGATTAGAGAACGATTTGGCCTAAGCATGCCTAAGCCTACGTCCCTAAGTTGATTGACTCAGTTCTATCATCTCCACAATATCTCCACCTACACCATTCTTCCAAGATCTTCCAAGTGATCGTACCCACACTCCACATGTTCAACACCGTCATCTTGACACAGCGCCTGGTCCAGCGCCAGCCGAAGCTGCTGCTGAAGGTCAGCCACCTCGTGCTCCAAGCGACCCGTGCGCTGTTCCATCGCCTGCATCGGCCACCGCTTCTGGCACATTGAGGCGGTTTCAGAAGCCAATGTAGCCTTCAATACAGGCATTTATAATCATACCAGGGCCCCCGAAAGGGCGGTTAATGGACACTCCTCTACCTCTTTCGGGTGCTATTGTTTGACACCCCTTATAGGGGGCCCTGGCATAGTAATAGATTACACATACTATTATGTACATATCTGTCTATCACTGTCTATCTATCATACAATATGTTATATTTCATTCGCTTAATATATATGCTATATGTCCATACATGTGTGTCCGGCATCTCCTGGATCCTGAGACCGCCTTCGAGTCTTCGGAGTCTCCGTTCTCCGCCCAAAAAGCTGCTGGAAATGGGTAGCGGGTAGATCATCCAATCCTGTTTTTGGGAGACTTCAAAATCTACAGAGTCCACCCAATATTGAGAAAGACTTGGAATTCAGGCTGTTGATTCTACTTGGCTGCCTCAGCAGCTGCCAAGCGGCCGACGGCTCCACTGGCACCTTGGACTGGTCCGATCGGACGAACATGGACGTGGCTTCTTCCAACATTCAGTGGACGTGGCCATCCCAAATCCCCTTGAAGTTCACGTAACATGTGCCAGAGTCCGATCTTGTGGACGCGGCTTCTTCATGCTTCTTCCACAACATTCAATGCTACAGTAGGCTGCCATCCCAAATCCCCTTAAGATCACATGTGCCAAAACAAAGAAAGCGGCCCACACTGGCACCTTGGGTCTTACATCCCTTAAGGATCCTGCCGTACCCTCGTTTCGTTTCAGTGGGACGGGGGTGGGTGCCATGTTCGGGTCCAGTCGTACCTGAGGAGCTACGACCGGATCCCTAGGGATCAGCTGCACCGACTCGGGTGGTCGGGAACCGACCGGTTTCGCCGGTGGCGTCTGCTGGTTGCAGTGGATCCACATGACCTCCGAAGAGGTTTGGACGTTTGGAAGGTAAGTCCCTTCAATTGGGAGGATGTGGTTCACACATAGATCTTCACATCGCCCCACTAGGATCTTAACCCCTCATTGGGTACCTTGAGGATCCATACTCCGGACTTACTGCAATATGTCGTGGCATGCTCCATGCTTGACATTGCTTGAGTCCGTGACTGTCCTTCGCATCTCAGTCTTTCGACCGGAATTCGTTCGTCCGACCCTTTGTGCGACGACCGTGACCCGGGGTCGCCATGTGCAGCATGGATTTGCTCATCCGTTTCTCTTGGCCATGTCAAGTTTCTCGCATGATATATCTCTAGATGACATTAGATGACTATTCTATGCCCTTAGGATTTACCTCCGTTGTGGATGTTCCGATGCACTGAACGCAGGCATGACTTTGCCACTCCAAAAGAACGGCCCAGCCATGTGGGTGATGTCCTCCATGGCCCCCTCTCAGCTCTGCACGCCGCGCATTGAGACGACTGTCATAGCGCAACGCCTGAACCGCCAAGGACATCTGGCAACCGTCCGTTTGGAGGCCCAAAGCACGGCTCCAAAGAAAAACACCCGACTCTCACAAGAAACCACAGAGGGAAACAGTGCGAAACAAGACATGCTAGAATCAAAGAAGGTTCACTCTGATGATACGAATCGCACGAATCGCAGGAATTCGCCGTTCTATTCATTCGCGCTAAAAAGGATAACATTTCAGGTGAGTGGTGCAGGATGAAAACCCTCTGGTGCCGAATGAGACTAAACCGAAGCTGCTTGCTCCCACTGTTCTCCAGGTGGCCATGACCTGTCTAGTGTGCGAATACTAAACACCGCCCTGGGTCAGGAACGGGGAGCAGCTTTTGTGCTCAGAGGTGAGAGCCTACATAATAGATCTAGACTGCTTGGCTGACGGCCAGCGTTGTTCCAACGCCCGTCGAAACCAAGCCGACCTAGTCGTTGTGACAAAACCGGTCCTTTGCACATAATGATCACCTGTCCTACGTTGCCGCGCCTGACCCGTGCCAGCCCTCTTCGGGGACTCTCTCTTTACTTCTGGTTTGATCCGGTGGGCAAACTTGTGTGGCATTGACATCTATGGTTCTATGACATGACGCGCCCCCTCCCTCCTGTAGCAGCAGTTCAAGTGACCGTGGGTAGCACTTCAAATGAATGCTGCAACGAGGGCACTGGCGAAGCTCGAATTCGGCCAGAGTTGGCCAAAGATTTTGGTGCGAACTGGCAAACGGCCATTCTGTTGAATCAACTATACGACTATACGACTCGTCTCTCGTACCTCTGTTCTTCAAAAACTGCCTTCCGGCACCACATGCAACATGCAAACTTGGTAACTTCTGGGATCTTCTGGGGCTCTCAAAATGGGGGACCCCCTTTTCACCAGAATTGATCAAAAACACATACATCCGTTGATGAAGCTTCTGAGCTCCCAGGATGAGTTGGGGGTTCCCCCATTTTCCCTCGCCCTCTGCGGCCGGGCCTTAAAGGGCCATCACATTCCCCTGCTGCGGCCACAGCCGCGTGTTGTGGACACTCACTTGCGTGCGGACCACCTCCCCATTTTGTTGCGGACACACCTGGGGACAGCAACCCACCGAGTTCACGGGGCCATCATGCTCCTTGAGCTCGCGCGTGGCAAAGAGGTCCTCGGATTGCACCTCAGGGAAAGGCGAGGGACAACCTCGAATGGTTGAAACAAACAGGCAGGAACTGTAGTAACTCTCTCTCTCTCTCTCACTTTCATTAATTGTTTTGTTGCACCAGCAGCCTCACTAGAATGAGGACACACATTTCTTTGAGATGTTGGGTCGCTGTGATTGATGAAACGCATGTCAAACCCTAAGATTAGAGTGGTGTGGGTATCGCGGACAAAGGACAGGTTCTTGATTTTGTTGAATCACCAATTGGGTGCTCAGGTTTTTGTTTGACATTCCCCGGGCCATCTATGGAATGCTTATATATATACGCATATTGGATCATGTTCATGAGTGACATCTGGTATGTATGTAACTCTTCCAGTCCATTTCAATCCCAGATGGGACCTCGGGGCATCTCCGACCCGCGTGGCATCACGTGACGAAGCGACGTGTCACGTCCCGGCGACGGGCCTGGCAGGCGGAGGATTCGGCTTGGCTGACGGTGGGCTCCGTTCGGGTGCTGACCCCGCTCACCGATTCCATGTCCACCTCAGCGGGGACGGTTCAACTGGCTCAGCGCGAGTCGGGCGGGTCGTTTGGGGGGCGCTGAGAGGGGAGGGAGAACCGTAACCCACTGAAGCCCTTGTGGAGGGAAGCAGCATTCATCTATAATTACTGGGTCTGGGTCGTGCTGACTCAGCTCGCTTGCGCAGGCGGCCGTCCGTGATCTTCCGCGGGTTAACGGCACGAGGATACCAATGGTGAGCCTCAATGGTGAGCGTAATTTTGCACCCCCAACCCTGATCCGAGGATAACCCCAATGATCAACAGCCCCCGCTGATCCGGGGCCAATTGATCGAAGGGATGCAATCACCCCGACCACGATCACGAGGCTGACCCGCGCATCCCTACATTCAATCCATCTGATCATAGATAATCCTTCACATTGAACCCGTTCCACATCCAACTAGATCATCCATCATAGATAATCTGGTCACAGATAATCCATCTGATCATCGAATCCATTCCCAATGATGGGCCAGGGATGGCCACTCTCTTCCGTTTCGTCCGGACGACTCGGGCCGAACTTCTCCCGGGTCCAACTCGATCACTGGAACCACGTGACAAGACGCGCTGAGCTGACAGGATGTCCGGGGCAGTGGCGGTTTACTAGTGACTACAGGGGAAACACTAAGTCATGCCTAAGTCCTGCCTAGGTTGCCTTTCTGCATGGCACCGCAAAAGTCATACCAAACATCATTAGAGGTCGCCTGCGATTTAGGTTCGGGCACGACATCTTACGAAACCTTCCCCGCAGCTAATTCTTGTTTACTCTTGCTTCTGGGCATGACATTGTCTGTTGCCTGTAGGAGATGAAGCTTCCATTGGTCAATGCCATTGCTGTGGTTAGCAGTGACATGTACCGCAACAAACTGAGGAATGTAACTGAATATACCTGATACACCCCCATGGATCCCAGTTGCCACGAGCACCCAGAATTTCTAGCTCTAGGGCTTATACTTGTTAGATCTTGTTAGATCGGTTAGATATACCCTCCTGTCCCCATCAACCAATACACACAAGAATCAGAAGTGCCTCCTCCTTCCCCAAGTATCAAGAACTGCCCTCAGGGCGGTGCAAACACCTCCTCCGGCTTTCTGTGTCAGTGGAACTGTGTGAGCTGGTGCCACCACCATCAATATTTACAGTAACGCATACAGTCATGACAAAGCAAAACCAACACACCAGCGGCACGCACCATGACTCCCTGGTGCCATCGAGGGGGTTATATTCACATCGCCCAGGCACAATTTCAGGTAGTGATCTGGCTTTGCTGCGGTCTCCTTTGTTCAAGACCTCGCGACATCTCGCGACGTGGGACGTCCCGCCGTGGTCCCCTGGCCCCGGCCGGTCACCGTTCGGTGGAGGTTGGTGTGTTCGGCTGGGCAGGCTCGAGGAAAATGGGATTTGATGGATCGGGATTTGATGGATCAGTGATCAGTGGAGTGTTTTTTTGAAAGATGTCAGCCTCAACCAACTGCTCGCCAACAGGACAATCAGCCTGGGGTGGTCCTTACGAACACCCTGCAAACTGCATCAAAGGCAAGGACCGGTTTCTGTCAAAGAGACTCACGATAGGCACTGGAGCCTCGAAATCAATATAAATGGTTCAGGCAGCCCTGGTAAGGGGCCACAAAAGGGCCCGCTCTCCTTCCAGAAGCATCGAACATCGCACACGTAATTACTATACTGAACATCAAACACATCCGCACGACTTCCTGCGGCTTCCAGTCGCAACTTCTAGTCGGGCCAAGGTGCTTTGATCCAACAGAACCAGCAACACAAACCGGGCACGCAAATGAGAAGAAGCAAAAAGCCGATCCTAGGCGATGTGACGGTCCAGAGTGGCGACTCTTCACGTAGTTTCAGGATGTTTCAGGACCTAAAGTTGCCCATGGGGCACAGATAAACAAACAATATTGCGTTGTGTACCTCAGCTACTGCACACACACACACACACTCACACCTGCTTCCCAAAGGTGGGAGTTTGCAGCAACTTGCCACCCAAGCTTCATGGACAGCGGCCCAATTCTGCCCTGTGGCCTCTGAACCTCCTCTTGCTCCTCTTGCGCTGCCTCCTGCACCCCATGCTGCGCTCCTTGCACATCGCTCCCCGAGATCGCACTCGTCAGGTCGCCTCAGATCTCACGCCCATCACGAGGATGCTATGCCCCAACACGTCTGGGACTCTCTCTCTCGCATGTTTGCCCACCTAGCGGTGGAGTCAATGCATTGCAAGTAAATATTCCATACATGGAGTGTTTGGGATGTGTCTTTGGCGGCCTTTGGGCATCTGGCACTTCATGTGTGGCCGCCTCAAGAGTCAGTCCCCCCCCCTCTCTCTCTCTCTCTTTTTTTTCTCGGTTTTTTTCTGTCACGCCGGCTCACAAGGCCACACCTTCATGGCAAAAATGGCCTTCAAGACCGCAATCCAAGGATCATTCGCCTTGCAGATTGCTCAACAAAATGCCACCTGTTCACTTCAAGTCTCGCTGCTTGAGCTCTTGGGGCCGAAAGCTAGTACCTGCTGTCCCTTCTTGGTCTGGCACACCTGGGACAACCAGGCTTGGACTCTGCCATCTTGCTCACGCGAGATCTTCTTGCAACCACGACATTCAAGCCAACTGCCTCTCCGCCACACCAGCTGGTGGGAGGTATGCACCCGAGTCCTCAGCTGCATCTCAAACTCAGCCAGCTGCCCGTAGGTGCACTTCGATGCTGTCATGTGCTCCAGAGCCGCTTTACTGCACCTGAGGGGTAACTTGCACCAGCACCTTGCACATCCAAAACTCGATGCTCCAGTCATCTAGCACTGATGCATCCCACCCCATCTGCACGAGATAGACCTGCAATGCAGCCATGGGTCCAGCCACCACCATCCACGGGTGGGCTGCTGCTTGAAGACGTCTCCACGAGACACGCCATGCCGGCATGAGTTCACCTTTCTGCTTCTCAGGCCAGGCTCTAACCATGGTGCATGGCTTTGAGCTGGCGCTCCACAGCAGTGTCTTGAGGGTCCTGCAGGCGCCCATGTTATCAAAGACAATGTCAACACTACCTTTCTTCTGAAGACCTCCATGTCGTGCAAGTTGTTGACGCAACGTCCGCATCCTTTGTGGTGCCAGCCCCTGTGCTTCAACGCCAAATCCAACTACAGAGTGAATGGATGTTTTCCAGACTCTAATCCTCACTGGCCTTGACCTGAGCTTCAAGTGCAGCAATTTGGACTGCCTTCCACTTCCCTTCAACATTCGCTTCTGCAAGGTGCCAATGCGGCGTCTCCTGCCCCCACTCGAGTCCAGGCCTAAATCCTTCAAAAGGTCATGAGCCTTTGGTTGATGCTCCGACCTGTGCAGGTTGATGGATTCCTTGGCCTCCACGGTCGAAGTGAGGAACCCCGTCTTGCTGGCGGATAGCTGCAACCCAACACTCTCCAGACCCTGCTTGATGTCATCAAAACCTGCCAGTGCCTCTTTGCTCACCACATGTGCATCCTCCGGAGTGAAGTCCATGGAGATGTCATCTACCCACACATCCACAGTGGCTCGAGGATACTTTGCTTGGAAGCTCTGAAGGACCGGGGCTAAGATGAGCTTAGCAACAAGCGGAGCTGCCGGGCATCCGGCTAACATTCCCCTCTCACAATGGACTGATGATGATGTCACACCCTCAGCCTGCAGCAGCCGTGGTCCGCTATATACTTCATAGACCATGTTCAACACAGCTGGCGGGAAATCCAACGGTTCCCAAAGATGCAAAAGCTGTTCCAGCATAACTGCATCGTAAAAGCTCTGCAGGTCGATCAGGAGTGACACCACCTGTCTGCCTGTTGCACGCCCAACCTCGCACTTCAACAGACGCATAAGGGCAACTTGCAAAACCTGTGTACCAGGTAGACTGCGCTCCCAGGGCAAACGTTGACCAATGCTATTCTGCCAATGTCTCAGCTTGTCCCAACGAAGTTTGAACCATGTGCGGTACATCACACTTGTCAATGAGATTGGCCTCTCAATGTCAACTTTCTTTGGGAGCAGCGACACCAATGTTGTACATACCTGGTCAGGCAACCTTCCCGCAAGTTCCCACGTTCTCAGCATGTGGCATAGTTCAATGACACCTTCAATGGGCAGATTTTTCAGCATGGAGTAGCTGATGCCGTCTGGTCCACAGGCCTTTTGTGGTAACCTTTGCAGCTTCTTCATAACCACATGAGGATCCAGGTCTTCCCATCCTCTAGCTTGAACAATGCCTTCATACCTCAACCTTTCTCTCTCACCATTGGGCCGGGGGCTGTCGACAACCTTCCACTTGCTATACCACTGTTGCTCCCTCCTGGCCTGCCTCTGTTGGATGGGCACATCACGGAAAGGCCTCACATGGACGCTGTCAGGTGCCTTAAGACATTTGCAGATGCCACAGTGCCCTTTCAACTTTGCCTGTGACAGCCACTGCTGATAGTCATGCGCTTGTTGCTCCATTGCCAGCTTCTTGGCGTAGTCTTTATTGCAGTCGTGATTGGGGCCGTGTCAGTGCCTCAAGGCCAGTTTGGAAATCTTCCAATCCATGGACATTTTGCCATCTCACATGCAGGTCAGCCGTCTTAGCCCGGAGATGATCCATAGTGCCAGCTGACATGGAAGGCTTGCTTGCCACATGATGGAGTAGAGAGCTGAACTGACCCCAATATGCAAGATCTCCTTTCTTCCATGGTGCAAGTGGCTTAGACAAAGGAAGCGGCTTGTTCTCCAGTGCCAAATACCCTCCTCTGCCTTGCTTTGGCTCATGTAGCCGTTGGAGCACATATTGTTCTGCTTGATGACACCATTCTGCATATTGGATTTCCTTCGGTCCAATAGGCCGTCCCAACCAGAAGGGTTTTGGCGAGGGAGGAGTAAAATCCGCCCATTGCTCATCCAGCTTGGGAACTGAGGGGTACTGTGTCAGTTGTGGGAAGACCAATCTTGGTGCATCTTTGTCAACCGTGATGATGAGGCCCGCATGTGGTTTCCAAGGGACATCCCAAGTCACCTTAAGTTCCAGGAATGGAGCAACCGTGCCGCATACAACCAAGCAATCAAGCTCAGCTCCATTGATCATCGTCGGTTGTCCACTGCAAACAACTTCCGCCCTCAAGACGTTCAGCAGATTATGTCCAATCCACTGCTCTGGTGGCACCTGAAAATCTCCAGCAACGATCCAGGGGATGGCCAGCTGTTGGACAAAAGCCGCAAGCTCACCCAGAATTGTGGAATTTGCCTTGGAGTTGAGATCTTCACCAGTCCGCAGATAAACTGAGATCAGGGCAAGCTCCCATTGCTGTCTCTGCAGTACATTGGCCAGGAATCCATTTCCATCCAGATCAAAGCTGCGCAGGAGATGTCCCGATTGCCCTTCTCGCAAGCCAAACAAATGGCCTCCACTGTTACCTCCTCTGCCAGTGTCATGAGCTGCAAGGAAGGTAGGCTGCCACCTATGCCGGCACAGTTCATTTTGAGCACCATCCATCTTGCCATGGTTCAAGTGGGTCTCCACCATCATGACAACAGAGTGATGTTGTTGTATCAGCCATTCCTTGGAGTCCTTGGTCCACTGGGTGATATTGGCATATAGGATTTCAATCTCTTGGTTGGGATGCCGTGCTTTCTTTGCGGGTTGCTCAAAATTGCCAATTGTCGTGGACCAGACATTGGATTGTTCAGCCCTGGATGCCCAAATCATCACGGCTTCCCTTTTAAAGCTCTCAGGGATCTCTTTGCATACTTCAGGGCATTGGCCATCATCTGCAATCCAACAGGCTTCACCTTCCACCAGCAGAGTGATGTAGTGCCCACTGATCATCTGAGACCCTTGATGGGCAATGATGCCTCGAAGGACAAAGGTGGCCTGTCCCGTATGCACAGATTCCGTCCTCTGAGGACACCTGAAGGTGGACGGTGTATGCAGAATGTGATGATGTTTGGCCCAGCTGCGTGTCTGCGCGCAGAGGGAGTACCTGCCAACATGAAAAACAATGTGTTCAACGTCAGCTCCCAGGCACTGTCCATTTCCTTTCTTGCAGCAACTGCTCAAAATGAACTTCTCCACCCATCTCAACTGGCATCCTGATGAACAAGGGGATCGTGTCGTATTCATGCCACCTGCCCCCAAAGTGAGCATGCCAGTTCCCTTGCAGGCCTGTCTGTCCCCACATCTCCCACAGTAGGATGAGAAACTCAGATGCATCATGCTGATTCTGAGGATTTTCCAAACGGGCAATAGCTGGTTGCAATTCCGAGGCCCCGAAAATATCCGGGATGTCATCCTGTTGCAGAAGTTGCATGCACAGCTTGGTTGAAGGACCCCAAAACTCAGCAGGATTGGGATGATGCGCCCCTTGCCAGCACCACATACGAAGGACCGCATTGGCAAAGCATCTGTTACCCTTTTTGTGGATGTTGAGCGTGAGGTTGGCAGCCAGCAGTTCAGCCATTGGTGGCATTTCAGGTACCTCCTGCACTGGCCTGCACAGATGCAAGGTACTCTGCAACGCCAGCCTCATCTTGAGGACATGTTTAAGAGCTTCCAAGCCCCAGACACGTGTTTCAACCATGCCAAAGTTGACATCCTCCCTACACTCTATCGGGAGGGCATCAATGGCTTCTTTGGCTCTTTCCTGGAGCACTTGCAAACGGTTTTGCAGCCTCCCTGGGCTGGTATATCGTTCAACGCCAGGTTCATCCTGCCATATGTCTTCCATTCGTCCTCTTTTGCCTCCGCCAAGAAGCAATACTGGTTGAGTGCCTGTTGCACTCTTCTCCTCCTCAGGACGCTGGTTGAAACCTTCCAGGGTCCCGCTTTTAGCAGGTCTGGGCTCGCCCACCCGCTCCGAGCTCCTCAAAGGCAGTGCCCCGGTTGGTTCAACTCTATCGTCCTTCTGATGTTCTTCGTCACGAGAAAGCCCTTGTGCACTCGTGCTATCCCATGCTCTCTTTGTATCACAGGCTTCGTTGTGCACCTTCTTGTCTAAGGGACATGCGTCTCCATGTTCATGGTCTTTGCCCTGATCATAGTCAGTTTCTTGTGCACCTCCATCAGCATCATTGCCCTGCCCACCATCCAGCGACATGTTGCGCCCCGGCTCACATGTACTAGACAGCAGAGGGTCCACCCCCACATTGATGGTATGACGAGGTGTATCCTGAGCACTTGGAAACGGATTGTCCCAATATCTTCCACATGCAACATACGGCTGCCACCCTTGAGAATCATCATGATCACACAGCTCAAAGTTAGCCGCTTGACTCCAACTATCAAATTCACAAACATGTTGGCTTGCTCCCCTGCAAGTGTACATGCCATCCCACGAACACCAAACACTCAAACACTCATGGTCTTGTGCTTGCAAACCCAATTGTAGCTGTTCTGCACGTCCCAAGCTCCCACCTTGCATTGACTCCCAATCAAAATGCTCAGCATGCTTGGCCCTTTTGGTCATCCATGGATCCTTCAAAGGCCTATCGTTGGGGTTACCCCGACGATTGGACCTCACTCTTCTTGCGGCGTTTCAACATGCTTTCAGCCAGTTGCCGCTGAAGATCCGATTTCTGGGTATCTGTGTACAAGATTCCAACCTGAGCTAATGCCTTCAACACGTGGTCATTCACATCCTCGTCCACAGCTTCTTCTGTAGTAGGAGCTTCCTTGGTCTCCTCCTTGAGAATCTTGGCATATGCCGCAGATCGAGCGCTCAGTTGTTGCTGTTCCTTGTCAATCATCTCTTGGACCGATTTCAATTCGTCCAATAGGACCCGGTATTGTTCCTTAGCTTGGTCCACCCTCTTCTGAAGCCCTGCCTTCTTGTTCGACAATTGGCGTAGCTCCACAACTGTCACCTTCAGCAGGGTGGTGACGTCTTTTGGCTCTTGCTTCACAGGGGCCACAAGGTTCGTCACAGCATCCTTGACTTCTTTGGGGAGATCCTCAAGGTGTGCCTTGAGGAGTTCTTCCAGTGGCTGCATCTCCGGTGGCGGGGTATAGTCAACCCCTAAGGACTTCAAAGCATCTTGCACATCCTTGGTCAGGCTTGTCCAACCTTGCTTCAGGGCTTTGTCCACTCCAGAAACTGGCCCACGCTGCCCAAGACCCGGCGGCTTGTCCAAAAGGACCTGTCGATCTCTGCGTGGCCTGTTTCTCCTTTTGGGAGAGGTGGAGGTGCCTGATGCCCATGAGCTTTGTGGCCACGGAGTGTGGCATTTGTCACATTGCCACCTGGATGCATTCACTCTGTCACTCCAAGCCCACGAGGCCGAGCATCCTTGGCAGACCAAATAGGTCCTTGTCATCCTGGGCCTTTGTCGCTCCCAGTGCTCCCACATAGGTGTCACCATCGTCAAACCCAAGGACAAAGAGCAACTGGACCTCTATTACGGACAAAGGTGAAGATACCTTGCTCGACGTCAGGGAGAAAGGGTTGCCAGTCACCTTTAGGTCCGCGTGGGGGCTACCGAAGTGCCAAGCAGGACACACCGGCTTGAGCCCAAATCTTGAGCCATCTCTCTCTCTCTCTCTCCCCCTCTCTCTCTCGCTGCTCTGCGTTGCCATGTTTGGTCGCTCTTGCTCCAGCCTGTCCTGGACTCAATGTACTTCTGGTATCATCTGGTGTCTGACCTATGAACCAAATCATTGATGCATGGTCAGAAGATATCAGAAGTAGACCTGACAAGTTGGATTGGAGAGCCCCCAGGTGACTTCTATGTGGCACCTTGGCCGACAGCCGACTCTTCCTCTTTGCCCCGCTCAAACGACGTTCAACGCGTCCGGCCGAGTCACTGCCTCCTCGAGCCAGCGTGGTGCTGGGCGGCTGGGTGCCCCTGGCGGTCACCTCCAAGGACGAAGAGCAGCAGTCCAAAGAAATGCCATCCTGATTGAGACTGGTGGCACCGATCCCTGGCAATGACTGGGGGGGGGTTCATATTTTTTTGGGCTCATCGGACGGAGGGTCAGGTGGGTATGGTAGGTATGGTAGGGTCACGGAAGAATTCCTCATGAGCCATGGGCATATCTTAGCATCGATACATTTATACGCTTTCCAGGGAGAGTATATACATCAACATCACACATAAAGAAAAACACACATGCCCCTGTAAAGGATGGCCAACACATCGTGGATAGCCTCACACCTCTAACCCGAATCGACCGCACCAACCCACGCTCAGCTTCCGTGTTGGGGCAGCAGTCGCCGCCCAGGCCCAGCGAGGCGCACTGAGGGTGTGAGCCTCGACCGTGCTGCGGCGCGGAGACCGTGGCCCGAAGCGACGGATTGCGCCGCGCCAACACACACACACACCGCGGTAGGAACGCGGTCTGCTTGGGAATGATTTGATGAAGCGTCTGTTTCGCTATGTGTCCCAAGTGCCCAAAGTTCAAAGACTGACGAACCTGAACCCTGAAATCATTCGGGGCCTTCAAAACACGTCCAAAACTGACGCGGTCTACCCTGAGTTGACCATCCACCGAGCCCAGCTGTATCAGAAGCCAAGGGGCTACACCGAGCCAACTGACAGCAATCCAAGGTAACACCTGCGGCACCACCCCTGAGGCCCATAGTCAACCACCAAACACGAGGCCCAAGGGAACGGGATCTGCATCGTATTCTGAATTTGGCGATGGTTTTCCATCCCTTCTGGGGATCCAGTCGTACCTCCTCAAAAGGTACTTGGACCCTCCAAACCGACCCCAAACACCTTCTCAAAGGGGTACTTGGAAGGAATCAGGTGTACAATAACAAATATCATCACTTTAGGAAGCCATGGAGTATGGAAGTGCCATCCGGCTGTGACAAATGAGCATGTCTGCGTTGAGTGCCATCAAGCTGCCAATGGAAACAAGTCAACACATGCAACAACTGCGTTGTGGAGGAAAATGGTCTGTCAGCGATCTTTGACACGGACTCGTGCCTTAACTTTGAGCTTCCCCATCGGCTACATCAATAGTCTTGTGAAGTTTCGCACCATTGCAAGTTGGAACACGGATGAACAAGAACTCTCCTCCACAGACACCCAAGGATCCCTGAAGTCGTACGTACTGCGCACCCTCTCAGGCGCCTTCGGGATTCGGACAGCACTCACCTGGCCGAAGTAGGCGCCGAAGTATGGCGCAAAAGCCAACGGGTGGTTGATCGCTTGGGCACCAACAGATCGGTGGCGCATCTGGTTGAGACCTTGAAAAGAAGAGCAACACAGTTTTGGAGATGCCCAGTTCTGTGGTGAACATCTCCAGATCTGGAAGTTGGAACATGGGAAAAGCCTTGCTCCAGTAGTGCCCTGCGCCAATCCACTTGCTGGGTGCTCTGCTCCAACATGTTCCCCCATGGTTCATGACACAACCAGCGCACCACTGCTCCAACATGTTCCCCTAAAGCGGGGCGTGGACGGGTGAACAACACATCCCAGTGGATCCGGACCTATCCAAATCATTTATAACATTTATAACTAAAATAGAGAGACAATGCATATAACTTATACCCATCAACCCCCCAAGGAGCCCGCCGAGGAGGAGACAACAAGAACTGCATCCCGAATTTCCGGATCCTGAGGCCATGACCTTGCAGCTCCAGTGCTGCACAGCCTGGGGCTGCTTGACATGATGCGCTGGCCCATGGCGCGCTCACCCCGGCAGCATGGCTCGTGGCCCACACCGAGGCGAAGACCAAACTCCGCATGGCGGTCAATTGGTCACGGGTGCCCGGGCGCTGGGTTCGTGATCGGAGCTGCTCAAAGCGGCTTCAGGATGACGGCATGAGAGATGTTATGCTACTTATTCATGGCTTCAGGATGCTTCAGGATGGCTTGGAGATGTGAGGAGTGCGCCATATTTGGAACCGTTCCATGCCACTAGAGGCCTAGAGGTCTATATTATTATACCCTGACCCCTGACAATCGAAATGCACTGTGTAACCAAATGATCCATCCCACACCATCCATGGGACTGGAATAGTTATATATATATATATACACATATCTACCATACCCCACGTATGACCCAAATCTACGTGTATATACCCAAACCGATGATGTATGCACAGTATATGCCTACATTGACCCCTTTTCAACCACCCCCAATGTAGGTAAATAGTATAAAGATTGGGATGCACTTGCTGGATGGTCTGGGATGGTCTGGGTATATAAAGCCTTTCGTCTGTGCTCCCATTCGCTGCTCGCTCAGCATCTCTCCCTGTGCCAGCTCTCGGGGCCTTTAAGCGTTCCTCAAGGTCTTTGGCTTGTGACTCCTCCTGCCAACAGCTGACAATGGCAAAGGCATACCGCAACAGCAATGGCATACCCAACAGTTCCAAAGTGAAGTTCCCCCGATCCCTTCTGACAGCCATCAACTGGATTTCGGGCCCTGCACCTGATTGCTTAGCATGCTCCCACCAAACAAAAGGAGTTTAGAATGAACAAAGGCAGCAACTTCTATAACCCCCGCTAACACAAGGGACCCACTGGCCACTTGACCATCGCAACATGCCAAACAACCCCGCAAAGCCGTAAGCCTGGTAAGGTGAGTGCTTTTTTGATGCTTTTGTTGAACCAAATTGTAGTCCTCCAAGAGTATAGTAACCCAGTCTGTTCGCCAACCACATCAACTCATAACCGCACTGAACCGCTGGCATTCGGAACACGCCACAACTCCTGCTTGGCCACGCGCTCGGCTTCCTTCTGTCGGCTCTTCGCCAGGGAGGCGCTCCGCAGTGCCTGACGTAGCTCGTCCTGGGCGATCGGAAGAGCATTCTCACCGCCCCGTGCCATCGTCCCCGGGGTGTGAAGAGGTGAGGTGGCCGACCCGCCGCAGACCGGTGTCGCAGAATAACTATATATATATATACAGGTATTGCACATGTAGGATCAAATTTGTGCTGGAGGCACGAACGACTGATGTGACCTAGTGCACTGAATGAATCAGTGGCTGCCCGAGAAATTCGCATGGGCTCATGGATGCTGAAAGACCTCTCCCTGGCTGGTTTCATGCCAATTTCTGACATGGCTCAGGTACAAATCATTTTGTCTAAGGGTTTGGCTCAAAAAGCTTCCCTGAAAAAGGCTTTGAACCAACTTCGGACGAAGAAACCTGCTCGTTTCGGACCTCATCTCCTGCCCCCCGCTAGCCGAGACGTCTCCGATCCGCTGCTTCTCACCCAGCGGCTTGCATGCATCGCGCCTGGCGAAGGGGATCGATGGTTGGGGGAGGCGATCGTTGGGATGTCTCGGGTCATGGGTGCTTCCGAGAGAGCGTCTGACCACATGTATAAAAACACCTACAGGGGGTGGATCCGGGTCAACCCCCACCAGATTCATAGGCTGATACTCAAGGGCTGTTAAACAGATTCCTACAGTAATGTTTGTCTGTTCTTTAGTATGGGGATTCTTGTTGAGTTTTTGCAGTCAAACAAGATTCTTCTGGCCCTTCAGGGCTGCAGCAAAAAAAACAGTATTAAAAAGGGCAATTGGGTCAAGTGAAGGGAAAAGTTAACATTCAATTGTGCAAGGAGTATCATCTGATAGGACAAAACGCATCTTTTCACCCCCAAGGTTTGGCCTCCACAGCCTCCACCCAACGTCTTGCTGTTCACCATTCTGTGCCCCCACTACCGATCGAATGCGCAAAAAGAACACAAACCCACAAGCACACCCATTGACACGAAAATGGCACATGCAATCACACTTGAAGATCGTCCAACAACTGATCACACTTGAAAATCATCCTTTCCGAATGAACCGACAATGACACTCCTCCTCCTGATCGGTCGACTCACCTCCTGCATACGTCCCATCTGACTGCCTCAGTACCCCTGGCAAATAGAGGGTTAACTATATAATTATGAGTTAACCTGTTTTGATATTCACTCAATTGGAAACCAGATCCCCAAACACCCCGGATCGGGTTTGGGTCAACAACGTACTTCCATCACCCCTTCGGAAGGTCTCGGCCCCCTCGGCACCTTCTTCTCGGCGTCCTCGCGGTGCCGCTCCGCGGTCATCTTCTGAGTCTCCAGGTCGGTGGCCTTGCGGCGCCAGCCTCGGTCCGAGGAAGACATGAGAGGCAGGAGCACGTCTGAGAGGGACGTCTCGAAAATGGGTCAAAACATGATCAATCCCGTTCGATTCCCTAGATCTTCTGTTGGTCTTGCTCCAACAATGAAAAACTGGCATGAAACAAAAAAACACACCAACACTGTTGGCATGGGGGTTTTGAAGGCACCTCTTAACATGTCGTTCCTAGACAAATCAATTATAACAATTAAGTATATGGCAAATCTGATCCACCTGGATACTTTATATTATAAACATCCATGATGTTACAGTAAGCAACTGCAACACAACTACAGCAGCAAAAACATTACAACAAAAGCACCTGGCAGGGCACCTTTGGAAAAACACTATGCAAACGGCTCAACACAATCAACGCGAAATTGAATATGTACACTAACATATATAGTCATAAGTTACATGTATATATATACATATGCATATACAGTCACAGCTTGTGGCAATATTCCTCAAACTATTGAACACAATTTTTGGCCGTGGCAGCCATGTTCTTCCAATTGGCCAATTGTGTTTCTTGCTTTCCACCTTGAGTGTTTCGTCAGTAACTCATACACCATGGCTCGCAAGGAGGTGCATGTTTGATAGACATAGAATATGATAGTCGAAGCAACTATAATGAGGAATCAGGAACCAATTTGACATATAATTGCAGCCTTCCTGATGCTAAATGCCACAATGGCCAATCAAAGGGCAACACTGGAGGAAACAAATTCTATATACTATATACTGTATATATATATACACAGTTCTTACATATTCTTATGTGAACTTCTTTGCCGCCCCTGTTCCCTTTTAATACCCATTCTTGTTCCAGGAGAATCCCAGCACATCCGTTCTTCAAGCTCATCAGCCACGCCACGTGCCAAGTGATCTCTGCAAGCGGTCAACTCATCTTGTGCATCGCGGGTCTCGACCTGCGAAGAATGACAGGACCACCGGATCGATATTGGCAGGAATATGGTTTCTATACTTAGGTGACCCTTAGGTGACCATGTGTGAATTCAACACTGTTGTACCTGACCTGACCTAAACGTCACACAGAAAATAATGTTTTATGCGGGACCTGTACCCATGTACTTCCCCACCTGTTCGCATGAGAAGGTTCTCCAAGCTTTAGCCCACTCAATGCTTTCAGGCAGCGAGTTTGCATCAAAATCGGTGTTGAATTCACTCCTGCAGGCACACCCGACCCAACATCATGTCTTCCGATCAGAACTTGCTGGAACTGTTCACAGTGCCTGCAACTGACTGTGCTCGTTGAGGAGCGACATCATCTGCTGGTGCTGTTTCTGTTGCGCCTGCGGGCTTGGACCCCGGACCCCGGTGCAACCACACGTCTCTATTGCGCATATTGAAATATCTGGCGCAAATGCACCACCAACATCCACCAACTATAGGTGTGGGAAAACCATGAGGAAGCACAGAAATACTGCAGTTTCAGTTGCCCCGACAAAAAGTTGGATCTCATTGGATCTCCAAAAACAAAATAAAACAATACCAAAAGCAAACAGCAACAACAACAACAACAACAAGCTACTGCTGCTCCTCCTCCTCCTCCCACTCCCACTCCTACTACGACGACGACTACTACTATACTACGGCTACGACTACGACGGCTATACTATACGACATGTAACGACTACCACGACCAAGACCACGAATGCAACGACTACGAACGACCATGACGACAACCACAACCTCGACCATGACGCGTACTCCACATATCAACCCCGATGCATGTGTCAAAGAAAACCGGCTCCCTGTGGCCTGTCCAGAAGCATTCCGTTTTTTATGTTTAACCACCCATCGGACTCACGTTAGATGCTGCGCCTCGTATTGATGCCACGCGTTCGTGTCAGCCTCTGCAGGCTTGACCTGGGCACAAGAGAAGGGACGGTAAGGTCTGAACATGTGGTCAACATTCAACATATTCATTCTTGGGTGCGGAGCCAAGCTCGCAACGGCTTCATTTTTGTCCAATCAAGCGTCAAATGTTGAGATCATCCAACCTTGGTGGTTGAAATCATCCTCGAAGTCCCCCTCGAAAAGGTCATCCTCGAACTCCTCCTCGATTTGGCACTGAAACCTTCGCAAAGCCAAAGGAAGATCCATTTGCGCAACCTCCGATCTAGGGCCCGTCACCTCCAAAGACTCAAGGCAGCTTGGCCAATGTGCTCTCCTGAAGGCCATGGTCCAAGAGCTAATCGACATGCTCTGAAGGCTGCTGGGCCAAGCCATTCCTTCTAGACTCTGGTGGGAAGCGCCACTAAGGGAAAGACTTTGAAGGCCGCTGGGCCAAGCCACTCCTTCCAGACTCAGGTTGAAAGCGCCACCAAGGGAAAGACTTTGAAGGCCGCTGGGCCAAGCCACTCCTTCCAGACTCTGGTTGAAAGCGCCACCAAAGGAAAGACTTTGAAGGCCGCTCGGCCAAGCCAGTCCTTCCAGACTCTGGTTGAACATATTGCCAAATGAAAGACTCTGAAGGCCGTTGGGCCAAGACATGCCAGTCAGACTCTGGTTGAACATACTGCCAAATGAAAGACTCTGAAGGCCGTTGGGCCAAGACGTGTCAGTCAGACTTTGATTGAAGCAATCACCAAAGGAAAGGCTTTGCAGGCCACTGGGCCAAGCCACAGCTTCCAAACTCTGGTTGAACCTATCGCCAAAGAAAAGATGTTGTAGGCCGCTCGGCCAAGCCGCTCTGTCTAGACTCTGGTTGAACATATTGCCAAAGGAAAGACTCTGAAGGCCGCTGGGCCAAGCTACTCCATTCAGACTCTCGTCAAACTCGTCACCAAACGAAAGACTTTCAAGCTGTCTAGGCCATGCCACTCCTTCTAGACTCTGGTTGAGTCCGCCCAAGGAAAGACTTTGGAGGCTGCTGGGCCAAGCCACTCCATTCAGACTCTGGTCGATCTCGTCACTAAAGGAAAGGCTTTGAAGCCCGCTGGGCCAAGCCACTCCTTCTAGACTCTGGTCGAACCCGTCACCAAGGGAAAGACTTTGAAGCCCGCTCGGCCAAGCCACTCCTTCCAGACTCTGGTTGAAAGAATGTCCGAAGGAAACACTTTGAAGGCCGCTGGGCCAAGCCACTCCTTCCAGACTCAGGTTGAAAGCGCCACCAAGGGAAAGACTTTGAAGCCCGCTCGGCCAAGCCACTCCTTCCAGACTCTGGTTGAAAGAATGTCCGAAGGAAACACTTTGAAGGCCGCTGGGCCAAGCCACTCCTTCCAGATTCTTGTTGAACCTATTGCCAAACAAAAGGCTTTGAAGGCCGCTCGGCCAAGCCACTCCTTCCAGATTCTGGTTGAACCTATTGCCAAACGAAAGGCTTTGAAGGCCGCTGGGCCAAGCCACTCCTTCCAGACTTTGGTTGAACTCATTTCCAAAGGAAAGACTTTGAAGGCCGCTGGGCCAAGCCACTCCTTGCAGAATCTGGTTGAAGTTCCAGCCAAAGGTAAGGCTCTTGAGGTTAACAAGGTTCGTCAGCGGAGCCGTCTTATCCAGCCCTTGTAGCTGCAGTATCCCCTCAAGAGCCATCGACTCATCCTCAACGGGCTGACCTTGGAGGCATCTCCAAGCGTCGTGCAAGCTAGCCACCTCATAGGCATAGGACAAAGAAGTCGGTTCCCCTTGTGCCAGCCCTTCTTGGGCCAAAGTCTTCGACAATGAAAGCTTTTGAGTTCCTTTCATCACTGCGACTCTTGCTCCAGGTTTCGATGGAAGTCGATCCCGGATGATTCTGCGAAGCTCAGAGCCGGTAAGGGACTTGGGCACATGGACGTGGAATCCATCTCCACTGACGCCCACAATCTGAATTTCCAGGAGTTCTTCATCCCCAAGTTGCACCGATTTGCTCGGATACATGGCCTTCCTTTCTCTTAGCTCGCTTGAGCAGTTTCTCAGCAAGCAGCAGTACTTCGACATATGTTCATGTTGCCTTGCATTTCACCTCATGGTGATGCAGGACATTGTGCAAGTCATGTGCGTGAAAGGCATCATTTCTTCTAAATCTGGACGTCCTTTTCTGGTCTGCGTAAGACTCTTAGGTCTTGGAGCTGCTGACTTCAGATATGGGACTCTGACCTCCCGGCCGTGGCACACATGTGCCACAGCTGAATAAATTGCTATGTAGTCAGTCGGACTGAACCTGTGAAAATATATGAACATATGAACCTCCTGGGTGACTGTGGGCCTTTTCCCAGTGATGCAAACCTCGGAACGCCGTCGACGCGACCTCTTTTCACCGCCTGACGTTCCGTCGTCTTCCCCTGTCTTCCCCTTCCCCCGTCTGAGACCAGGACGGGCTGAGGATGAAGCTCTTTGGCCCCATGTTCCCTGAGAATCACCGCACGATTTGGAGACCTGGAGCCCTGTGGGTCAAACACACACACACACACACACACACACTCTGGAGCAGATGAAGCAGCGTACCTGCTGCTTAACACATTGAAAGGTGGAGGTTTGGAGACGACTTGGAAGATTCATGAAACCACCAAAGTGATAACTAAATACTATAGATTGATTAGTTTGGAAGTACCACCGTTTGACTTGGTTATATAGCGCACTCCCAAACTCAAACGAAATCGAGCACACTAAAAAAAGAACTCGTCACCTCACATGCCAAGGTTGTGGCACCTGAACAACCAGCCACTCCCACTCGCTTGGTCGGAGCGTTCCCCTCAAACAAACCAGAGGCATCTGAACAAATCCCCCTGAGTAGGGCCATCCACCTTTGGATCCTCTCAGCTGCTACAGGCCAGGCCTTTAAACATCAGCAAATCCATCTCAACACATCCCAACACCAAAGGCGAAGCTGCCAGTCGGCCGCCCGCCTCGCTGGCTTGCACGGAGCATCTGCACGCTGCCTGAGGGTCTTGATAGGTATCTTGATAGGCATTGAATTATCTTGGGCAATGACAGGTTGCCATAGGCATCCCTAGGCAAAGTCCTTGAACCTATCATTGCCTAGTGAGGCCTAATGACAATGGGCAACATGTTCTTGGGACTCATCTCCTGCCGGGCCATGCCCCAACTCTCGCTCCGTTCAGCCTTCCATGTGTGCCCTGCCTTTCATGCGGATTTGAGAACCTCCGGCCCGACTCGGCATGACAGGGGTGAGTGCACATGCCATTCCTGGCCTCTCTGCCAGCCGATTGAGGCTGTCAACCTCTACACGGAGGCGCTGAAGGTCCAGCATCAACTGCTCCTTCTCCTCACGTGCGAAGTGGTGGCTTAGCTTCTTAGCTTACACCTACGATGTACAGCTGCATTTTGTCTGGCGCAGGACATGTACATTTTTTGCGTGAGGAACTCAGCCGAGGAGTGAGTTGGATAGGAAGGTTTTGGTGCCAACTGCTGAAGTTTGAAGCAGAATCTCTTAACTGATGAAGCATGCATGCCTTATATACATGGTGTGCAATTGGTGCAAAACCTCGATTCTCAACGTGTTTCAAGGCACTCTACAACACGGCCATGAGCCGAAACCAGGCTCTACATGTTTCAAACCTCGATTCAACGCAAAATCTGTATCACATGGAGGTTTTGGATTCACCAGGTCTACGATTTCAGATGTGTCTCAAATCTGTTGAGCCTCTTTTTTTCGCTCCGTCCACCCGCCCTGACCGGCAAACCGGAAAGCGCCTGCGCCCAGGATTGCGACTCCTCGCCTTGGAGTGCCGATCCCGGTCGAACCACCACCAGGGCGTCTGAAGAGGATCCACCGGGCAAGGCATCAAGGGCACCAGGAAGAAACACCTGCAAATGGCTGGTTCCTTCCCGTGCCGTAACTGACTGATGATTGGTTTGTGCTCCTTGTCGTTTTAGATTTGTTCCTTCACAAAGCCTTGAACAAGGACAGTTATCAATCAAACAGATTTGACCTGATTTGTCACACCAACCCCCCCCCAAAAGAAGCACGTGGGTTTCTTTTTCTTCAGGTCCCCGCTGCCAACGATCCCATCGGACCCACACCATTTGTGGCTTGTTTCAGGGGAGATAGAAACGCTAGTATAAGGGCTCCTGGCCATACTACTAGGAACAAGGACGCTACGAACGGAGCAACTGGCATCGCGACTCGAACGGAGCGAGCAAGGACGCGTCCAACCCATCTGGTCCTCTGAAACCCATCGGCCAGGCCACGAAGTCGCCGCTCCAAGCGTCGGCACTCGGCTTGGGCCTGTTGATGTGCGAGGACCTGCGCGTCCGGACGTGGTAAGCGCTGGATGAAGTGGTGGGAACACCATGGGAGACAGGAAGAAGCAACACGAGAAATTGTCATGGAAACCTGTTTTGGAAGATTTTGGAAAATCATGGATCCACTATGATCCACTTGGATGTTGATGGATTTTTGTACTGTTGATTTCCAACCTCTCCAAACGCCACCACCAAACCACTGGGGCCCCGGTCCACCTACCACGGTCCACCGGTCAGTTCCCCGGGGTTTTTCAGGACCCACAGCCCAAATGGGCGGGTCTTCATCACGGATCTTCCAAGGACCTGGTCCGCCTGGTCCCTGAAAACATGACGTGGTCCTGCATGGTCTACAATGGTCTACTAATGGTCTGTCATGATCCAAAAGGGAATCACTCCAAATCGGGGGGAGGTTTTTAGGGAGGATCATTGTGGAGAACGAGCTCAGGATCTTTCATCTATCGGTTCTGCAGTGCCTAAATGTATTTTAAAAGCCACCAGTTTGGTGAAAACGAAAAACCCAAGCAAAAAACATTAAAAAAACAAAGAAACACACACAAACCAGCTCACTCAATAGAACTTGGCACAATGTTCCCAATCTCTTCCACCCTATGAGGCCAGCCCGGTGCCTCCTCTCGAAGCCGGGTGATGAGAGCAGAGTACTTCGAGCCTCGGAACTCCGAAGTGAAGCGCTCTCGGTCACTTGGTCCTCACAAAAACTCCACGCGAGGGTCCTCAACGCGGTTATCCCAGGGTCTTCCAGGTTCGTTTCTTACAAACATGCACTCTTATCCCTTATCTTCTCGTCTGCCGGTGGAACAAACAGCCGTTGAGTTTGAGCTGAGGCGCCTTCGGTTCAAACTTTGGGTTCCACGTTTTGTGTGGAGTCTAGTGTGGAACGATGTAGAAAATGAACATCTCCAGTCTTCACCAATGAAATTCAAACATATAGCAAAGAAATGGTTCGGACGCAGCGGGTGCAGTCAGTTGGTGAATCTACACATCTTCAGGGAAGACGGTCGCGCACTGTGCTACCGCAAGACTTTCACATACAACCATTGCTTCACGCATTCGCAGGCTGGAGGATTAAGGCAAAGGAGAGCCAGCCCCGAGGTGCTTTTGTCTGCAGTCAGAAAAAGGGTCAAGTACTTTCAAGAACTAGCACCTGTGGTGAGTCATCCTGTTGATGCCTCTCCCAGCGAAATGCGGAGTGGTCAAATGACCGCGTGTAGATTTCTCCACTGATTTCTCCATCTACCTGGAGTCTCAAAAGTGTCCTGGAAAATGGGCACTCAGGTACCTGCTGTTATATGGGTCAAGGAGTGCTTGTCCCGTTTTATAGTAATGTTCCATTAATTATGTTCCAAGGTACTTTGGAGTGTCCATCTCCTGCTCAACAGGGCCCAAACCAAGTGTCGCCAGGTGTGTTCTATCGACTCGATCGAGTGGATGGAAGAAAGTCACTCGCTCCATCTCGATTGAACCAATGAACCCTCCCGGCGAAGATTCGGGTTACAAGTGACTCGAAAGCAAAAGAAACACCTTGTTGCTGTGAACCACCTGAACCAATCATCAGGTGTGTCCAACTCTTCATCGTTACTGCGCTCACCGCAGTAAATCGGAGTTCGTGCCGCGGTGAGCGACCGGACGTCCCACTATAGTCGTCCCATGTCGTCAATGGATCATGCACCCCATGTCGTCACCCTGGTCACGTCTATTCGTCGGCCGACGCCAACTGCTCCCCAGGCACACAGGAACTGCAAGCCATCCGTCGCCGAGTTCGAGTCCTGCGATGTCCCCGTGTGGACGGTAAAACCATAGTATGACACCGAATGACACCTCCAAAACCCGTTCAAAGTGATTGTCCTGTCAAACTCAAAGAATCACAACCTCTGATTGATTGAAATCATTCCAATCCTCGCTGCAAAAGGTACTAAAGTACCAAGGATATCAAATGCCTTGAAGGTTGGAACAAACAGTTGGAACCATTTGGAACAACTTTGTATCACACATGGTCACACAAGCAAAGGCATGCCAATTACTGATGGGCAATGGACATTGATGAAGGTTGGACCAACAAACAACAAAAATGATCAAACAACGCACACCTCATTGCCACAACCTCGCCCAGCCTCTGTGTACGGCGCACCCAGATCAGTGCCCAGGGCATGTCCACAGCAGCGGCAAAAGCGCGAGTCGCTGAGCAAGGTATCGCCGCAGCGTGGACACGACGCCTCGTGCGCCACAAGGTTTTATCGGTGCGGGTGAAGCAGGGTGAAGCAGGTTGTAAATACCTCTGATCTCCCTGATCTGCATGGTGCTTAATGCTGGCATAGGGAATGTTCGATTGACCCACAGGACATCACAGGGAACCCCCCTCACATCCCCGATACCTTCAATGGAATCTGCTGGTTGATTGCGGGTAACCCCAAGATTTCGCCCCCCGAATCCACGCCGCCCCGACCATGACGCGGCCCCTAAATAGGGCCCAAAGACGCTGCCCTTGGTGGTTGGCTCAAGGATGCCGCGCCCTGCCATCGATTCATCACATTGCCACAAAGGGATTTGAGCAATTTGTCGTATCAGTCTTGTGACATCGAAAGGTCAATGTTCAGAATTGTGTAGATACAAGTTTCACAGGGATCACTGCTATTTTCGGCCCCGATTTTTGGCACCTGCGTGGAAGATCAATTTTGGTGGCAATCTGCATGCTGAGGTATGGATTGGCAGAACGGCAGGGCATGGGAGGAGACACCTTCGGTTTCATTACAACATATTACAACCTTTCGAATGGGTCAAATGAAACACAAGCTCCTTCGAGGTGTTATTGCCATATCTCAGGCTTCAAGCCTCCATGTGACACAATGCCACTCCACTTCAGGGCTGCGTCCAGCCTTTAGTAATTCAACTTCACGCAAGTGTAGTTAGTGTACTAGGCAGTGTGCATACACACAAATTACATTGATTTGGCAACAAAGCTGGAATGGAAATCGGGACAATCCTGATAGGTCATAGCACAATGCTATTCACTAGGCCTGTGCACAGGCGAAAGTCATGTGGCCCTTCAGATTGCTGTGACATGAAGAATGCCAAGCCACTGACATAGCACCAAACCGTTCGAAAGCTTCTGATTGTCTTGATAAGGGGAACGTCTATGAACATTTGGTCCTTTGAACAGAGACACGAATGGAGATGTTGCGTTAGTCAGGTTGGCCCACAGGCGTCTGAACCCAGTTTCAACCCTACTAGTGGTATTCCACAGCAACTGGAGAGCCATATACGAGATGGCCCGTGACTGAAATATGAATCCTCACAAATGGCGTTGGGCCGTATACTGTGACACCTCGGAAGTTGAAACCACCGAGGATCTCAACCATCTAAGCGGACCAACCTAAGTCATCTGGCGCAAGAGATGCGTCATGGCTGGAAAGAACCAAAGAAACGGGCCACAAGTGGTGAACATATGTGAAACGAACCTTGGACCTCGATTACGATTTGTCCATCGATTTTTACTTTGACCCCGGTTTAGCCCGGTGCGAGTGGACTCCCGCCTGGTGCTTCAGACCATGCGGTCATGAGACCTGTGCAATCCAACGGGATCGCGTTTTTTAACGGAGTTAGCTTTACCCCGGTCAGGGATTCAAGGGATCCAAGGGATGAAGAATGAAGAACTATATACCAGGAGTCCTTGCTCCTAGTAATGTAGACCCTGGATTTATAAGCGCCCCTAGAATAATGACGGTTTTTCCTGCACAGATTTATAAAGGCCCCCAGAATATATAATGTTTTTTTTTGGGGGGGGGAGGGGTAGTTGTAGTGGGATATGTTTTATTGTTATAGTTTACTTTTTCCCTTTTGAGTTTGCTGGGATTTGCTTATCTTACAGGCTTTTGGATGGAGATTTCTATTAAACATTTGGAGATGTCCATTGAGATTTGATGCTTTTGAAGGCTTTTTGATGGAGATTTCTATTTAAAAATTGAAGATTTCCATTGAGATTTGATGCTTTTGGAGGCTTTTGGATGGAGATTTCTATTAAACATTTGAAGATGTCCCTTTCTTTTCCTTTTGGTTTGCTTTACTTACCTAAGCTCTTTAGTCTTCAAGCTTTCCAAAAGTTTAAAACAATTGTGCACACTTTCTTTACAAAATCCCTTATTCAAAAGTATTGAAACAACACAACATCATTCAAGCAAAGGGGGTAGTCCAGCAAGCAGCTTTCTGACATTATTTAGGGGGGGCCTTAGAATAATGTCTAGAGAGTTCAGGCTTAAAAAAAATATGTTGCTTTAAGTAAACTTGTATTCATTCCCGTTCTTTTCCTTTTGGTTTGCTTTACTTACCCAAGCTCTTTAGTCTTTAAGCTGTCCAAAAGTTTCATTTTGCAGGTCTTTTGGATTCAGATTTCCATTGAAAACTTGGAGAGTTCCATTGAGATTGAATGATTTTGCAGGTCTTTGGATTCAGATTTCCATTTAAATTTAAAGAGTTAGTTCCATGTCCATTTCTATGTCCATTGATTCCCTTTTATTGTAATATTCCAGATGTCTTCAATCTGAGGTTTCATTGATCCCTTTTCATTTTAAGGCTTTCCAGATGTCTTCAAAGTTAGGTTTCTTGATTCCTTTCATTTTAGTATTGCCAGAGTAGCTCCAGAGGTAGCTAGCTAAGGATTCCTTATTGATTTTCTTATACATTATATTGGAGGCCTTGGTTGTTGAGGGGGGGGAGTTTATAAATCAAGAGTCTACACTAGCGATGCCCTTTGCTCCTAGTAGCGTCCTTGCTCCTAGTAAGGCCAGGATCCCCCCTTCGTAGCGTCCTAGTAGCAGGAGTCCAGGAGTCGGCCCTCGAGCTTCGGCACCTCTTTGCGCGAGGAGTCGTGACCGAACATCCTGGGATCTCTGGCGGAAGGTCTCAGCGGGGGTTCCCGTAGTTGCAAATAGTTGCAAATGGCCCATAAAAATGGCCCAAGTGATCAGCCACTTCAGAGTGTCATGAGTGAACCACTAGCGTGCGTGTGTATATACTGTATGTTATACCTGATTATTAATTATATCAGAGGATGCTTTTCACTGAATCCACTCAAACTGGATTGTCTAATGAGAGGTGGTCCATGGCCTTAATGTTTTGTCTGTCGGTTCTGTGCAATGGTGTCCTCCCCTTTGCCTGTCAAGATGAGTGACGAGCTGTGCTAACCCCCGAGTAAGTGGTATACCATGGTGGTGACAAGGGGGAGACCTCTTTCAGTGATTATCCATATCAAGAATGACCTCTTTACATCAAGAATGTAGAATGAACATATACCTCTCCATGAGGATCTAATCCAAGCTTAACACTACACAACCTCTCCTCGGCCACCTGACGAATCCATGGATCGATCTGGTCAAGAGGTGCAGGACGGGGCGTGGAAACGCCCTGGTTCGATGCGCCCAAATCGACCAGAGTTCCAAAGGGGGGCTTGGAAAAGACCCAAGTCATCAAGAACACCCCTACCCTGTTGATGTGTTAAATCCTCATGTCCAAAATGCTTGAATAGTTTGTTGGTCCACAAAAGCCATCTTTCCAAACAAACACGAGATGCAAAGGCTTTATCGCACGTTCTTAGGGGCAAAGGTCCACTTGGTAAGATTCTATAACGTAGGAGTTCGCGGAATGTTGTTCCTAATAGCCATCAGTGTCCAAAAAGAAAGCGGAGCAGCTCGGGCCTTATCGGCACTAAAGACTGAGTGACTTCATCAGCCGTGCGCTATATATGTGCAGGAACCGTAGTCTCTTCGCAAACCATGCCGGGCCTATGCATGGTGGGTGTTGGCCCACAGCGGAAAGCAAGCTGATGAGACAGAAGCTGCGGACGTCCAGGAATATCACAGACTGGAAGAAACACAAAGAAGCATCATTAGCTCCAACGGGCAAACGGCTGCACATGGAGCAGTCAAGGACGTGCTGAGGGAGGTTGATACGATCCAACACACAACTTGAACTAATTAGCAGCTATGAATGCCATTCTAGGCTCTCATAGCTAATGCAGTACAACTACCATCAACTAACTATACGAAAACTCCACATCTGCCATGTTTGTATCCGACTGCATGTGGCCATGGTGGAGTCTCATGCCCGAGATGGTCCGTCCAAATGATGTCAAATCCCGGTCGCTCGCAGGTGGTCAAAAGCCCATCCCACAAAAAGTAGATGCCTGCCGTTGGCTGTTGATGAAGGATATGGGCTTTATCGATCAACAGTCAACACGATCTTCTACAGCTGATGTTCTTCATTTTGACGGCACACCATAGACTTAGAATCATGATGGATCAAGGGATGCTGATGCTGCATCCCCCTGAGAACTGCACGGATATGCTTCGTTCAAGGAAGCATCCAACCTGACCAGACTCGAGCTTTGCAAGATCCTATGAACCACTTGCTCGTCTGAATTCCAGGGTCCCTCATCAAAACCGAGCTAAGAAAAGCAACTCTCGCTAGCTGCAGCTAGTCGTCCAACCAAGGCTGATGCTCTTGATCTGCAGCTACCCTCGTTCTCCAACAAACACGTGGTCCATGGAGGATGGCATGGGCCAGGGGTCTCCAGGAAGACAATGCCTACATTGACCCCTGTGCAACTACCGTAGCCAATCTGGCCTTTCCAACGTCACAGTTTAATGTATTGAGCAATGATTGAAACATCATTGGTCCAAAGAAAGTTTTATGTGTTGTAATTCTTGCAAGGAGTATCTAAAGTCTTCAAACGGGTGCCACAAATTTCACGTAATGTGCAACGCATATCTCGCCGTGTGAAGGAACTGCTCCATGCCTTGAGTGATAAGTCCCGCAACATACAGAAGAAACACACCTACACCGAGATTAATGGACATGTTGCAAATTTATTGAAATATGATGGCTTGCTGCCGACACAGGCAAGGTGAGAAGCTTGCATTGCAAGACACATTCTCTGCAATCAACCCATCATATGCCGCGACAGCTCCTAAAAGAAAGCTTCTCTCAGGCCATGAATTGTTGGGGGGCCAAATTCACGTGCATGCACAGGCAAAACTTGGAATTCGCAATAATATTGGGGTGTTTCAGCAAGCTTCATTGAAACAAATCTCAATAGTTAAGTGATTTGCTCATATTTGCTCTGTTGGGGTCAACTTAACGCGGTCAAGGTAAACTTGAACATGCATTCATGGGCAAATGTGGACAGTCGGTAAACTTATCTTAAACATGCATTCATGGGCAAAGGTAAGCAGTCACTCAAACCTTCACGTGTTCGGCGTAGTTGTTTGTGGGTGGCCAACTTCACTTGTAATTCACGGGCAATCTAAACGGAGCTTCAGGGAGGCATCAAGAACATGACTTGGCAAGAAAGGGTCCAGTAAAACTGGGATATTGCGTGAATGTCTAAGTTCTACATACCTGCCATGCACAATGTGCGAGTTAAAAGTACACATGGAAGCATGGAGCTAGGGAATGCACAATGTTCACATTCATGTTTGTCAGATTAATTAGTGACTTCTGCACACAGGGATCTCGAAGAGAAAGAAAAGACACCAGTGATGTTTCAGGAAAGTTATATCTGTAGGTTGAAGATGCTTCAGAAAATGTACAATAGTTGTAAAACTAATCCATCTTCCCTGGAGCTTCATCAGCGCCAGGTAGTGAAGTTATGCGATACCACCTAAAGACTGGATATCCTGGGCGTGACAGTGGCTGTCTGGGATTCTTGTGACTCAACGGTCAGAATGAAGTTTTTGGAGTGCCTAGGCTTCCGACCACTATTGTTTTTACATTAATATTGCTTTAATGGCGTTTCACCAAACAATTATTGGTTCAACTACGGCAACAACCGTTCTTTAATGGTCCTTGTAGGCCACTTCTCACCCATTTCTCCGCTCCCTGCTGTTGGAAAACCTCCCTTCCTTCCGACGGGCTGAATGAACGTCCCATCACAAGTGCCAAAGCTACGCCCCACATGTTTCTTCACTTTTGGTGGGACGGCAAATCGGCTTCTGAGGCGTCTGCCCGGCCAGGTCTTCTGGCACTCGCACGGAGACCTAAAGGGCCGGAGTCTGGAGGAGACAGCCACACGCTGCCAAACATGCGCGATGCGTGCAAAGGGACGGAGGTGTTGTTGAAGGAAGGGTCGATGTTGATTCGCAAAGCCTGGTGGTGAAGGAGGCAACCCATGATCAATGAGTCATTTACAGCATCTCCATCACCACCAGAAGTGATGAACTGCCCCCACGTCATGACTAGCTGTCATGTTCGTCTTCGCCCTGTTTAATCCTTTTAAACCGCGGGGGTAGCTGATGGGTATACCTAGGTGATGGTAGGTCATTGCCAAGAGAGCTGATGGAAGTTCTGCGCAATGGAATCGCATGGCATGGCCCGATGTTCTGACGTCGAGACTTTGTGGATGAACTTTTTGACGTCTCGTGCAGCCTAGTAGTTGCGCTTCTCTTAAGACACCGCCTTATAAGTATATATACATACGTATAAGTCGACTAGTATATGATGTTGGTCGCCAAGCTTGGGTGGGCATAGGTGGGGACTGCTGTCCTTTCTTGGATCTCTAGGATTGCTACCTCGGCACAGGAGCGGGGCACATTCTGGGCCTGTGATTCTTAGGGCTTGAAGACTTCCATGGTTGTGACTTGCCTCGGTGTTCTATTAATTGGGCAACCACTCCTGGCATCAAATACATGGAATCCTAGCGTCATGGTTGCATTTCGCATCTTCCATCAACTTCAACTCAGAAAACTGTAAGCCGTCAGCCCTCTTTTGCCGTTCATCCGGCTTGGACCCCTGCGAGCATGTCATGGTGCTTCAAATGGTACAAGCTTGGCTTGGCCAACTTGGGAGGTCAACGCAGCTCCGGCCCCACTTTTGGGATCAACGCAGCTCCCGGCATTTTGCTCGGCAACTGGGCAGCTTTAGCCGGGCCACTGGATCTAATCACGATAGCGAACATAGGTATCAGCAGATTTATACATCATCTCTATCTGCTTGAGGAAAGCTTTCTCCACCACTGGCCGCTTCATCTTCTTGGTGGGAGTCAAGAACCCTTGCTCTTCAGAGAAGTTCGTGGGCAACACCATGAACTTCTGTATTTTGAAGGCATTGTTCGGGCAGACCTGTCCGAGCGGCTCGGCAGTTCGGACGCCGTGTGCGGTTAGCGCATTGAAGAGGCCTGGCTGGTCACAATCCCAAAATGGCGATCCATACACTTTCGGCGAGTGGGAAGACTCATCGCCGTGGATGTGCAATTTGAAAGCAACTCATGCACGACTCAATTGCACACGTCGGTGTCCAGAAGGGCCAACCGGGTCGGCTCCTTATTCTTTTCTTATGACTTCCCACCAAGGTGATGCCACGCCATCCCTAAACCATCTGACATCAAGGGCCCTTAGCAAAAATTAGGTATCCCCGAAATCCATTGACAATTCTCAAAGAATTACCATTCTTCATCCCCCCAAACAATCAATTCTCAACCTCACACTTGTCTTGCATCCCAGTGGCCAAAACACCAAAACAACGCCTTGCTGCGAAAAGGCCCGCTGGAGACCCTGCTGGACGAACGGCCTTTACGTCTTTTTGTCTTCACGCCGGATGGACAGGGGACAGGCTTTTCCTGAGCCTCTCATCATGCATCATGGCGCTTTGCAAACTCTTCATCCGACCTTCCACGCTGCGTCATCAGACGCCCAGGAACTCGCACCGCGCCACACGCCACGCCGCGCGCGGCTGCCAACGCGGGCGCCTTCCCATTGGCGTTGGTTTTCTGGACCGCCGCAGTGATGGTTTCGATCCAAACTTGATCGTCCATAGCTTCCTGGACGAACACTGCCGTTGAACCCGCTGGAATGAGTGGCTCTAGAGGGGAGAAAGATTGCATCACCATGCATGGTGGGACCAACTTAGTTGGACTCAAGTAATTGTATCGGCGGGAGAAAATCCTATTACCTGGTTGCCAGTGGATAATGATGGTTGCTATAGGCCTTTCTTCAATATAGTGATAATTGTTTGTGGGTCCTGTTGCAGGTAATTGGACGGACCCAAATTGTATCGACTATAGGGAGAAAATGCCTGGACCATGTCCTTTCTTGTAGCAATGTCAACGCGTGATAAAATTCAAAAAGCCATACAGGTGCAAGAAAGGACGATTTGAATGTCATGCCACAAGTGCCACAAACATCTGGAATTTGGAGCCCACCAAAGAGATCGAACAAGAAACATATGCCCAAAGGCCCTGAATGCTCAAGGGCCAAAACTTAACACATCGAAGAAGGTTGACTGTTGGTTCGCACTACCCAGCTACGTCAGGATGATTAGAACCATCTCCAGGCTGGGAAGTGGGAACTCTTTATTTCTCTATTCATCCACGGTCAACATGACCCTTTCTTCAACTTCAACGTTTTCTCTCCCAGCTGCAGTGATGGTCTTCACCGACGGATTCACCCTCACAGCGCCGGCATCCAGCTGATTGGTGCCCGGCGTCTCGCCATTGGCGCCCACGGCTTTCAAGGTGATCCTGTACGCAGTTTTCGCATCGAACTCTGCTAAAGGAGGACTGAAAAGGACAAATCAACTCTTCCCGCTAGAAGAGGAAACCAGCTTTCAAAGGCCTGAAACGACGCCTCCAGAAAGTCAGTCGACACTAGAGCCGCGGGAGCACCGGCAAAAGATAGACTCTTCAAAGCATTGGCCATTGAGCTGGCGCTCTATTGAAGAGTTTTATGTTCCACTCCTATCTTGGTCAACCAAGGGCCTTCCCATGAAAGGGAAAAAAACATGAAAAAGATCCAGAAAGAGCGGCAAACCAACTTGAAGCCGAAGGGCAATGCCACGTTGAATTTCCTCAGTCAGCTGAAGTAAAATAGAACATGTTTAATCATACATGCTAGCGCCTGCTAGTGGAGTCATGGAACATAAATCAGGCCCCTTTTTGTTCGATATGGTTGCAAGCAACCATGCCCCCCAAGCCCCAGTGATTCTTGCACCACCGGTGCGGGTGCACCAAGACCCAGGGTCAAAGGCTCGAAGCTTGGAACTGGGTGAGTCCTTTCGAAAGGCCCAGTTAGCGAGCTGTGGGATATGACGTAACATGATTCAACTGCAACTCTTTGGGATATTCCGAAGGCAACAACATGCATGTCATATCTCATGATGTCTCATTGCTGCCAATCTGCCGCTTGTCACCAATCATCAAGACTTCATTGATGCCATCACAGCACGCTTTAATATGATCCTCAATGGGCACTGGCGCGATATTCTCGCCACCCTCCTTGGAGCGAAGGAAGACATGTCAAAGCCTTTATGGTGTTTGGGATGATTTGGGGATGGTGTTTGGTTAAAGAAGCTTCACAAAGAAAGAAATCCAATTCACCTGATCAATCATTGCCAGGCTTCTCCAATGATCAATTCCTTGTATCGACCGGTCACTTTCACCATTCCTTTGGTGGTGACAATGCCCTTGTCACCTGCAGGCTGCCAAGATTTACGACATCTACCTCCAGTCAAGCAACCCTCTCGCCCGGATGTCCAAGATGTGCAACATAATGTGTGGGAAAATGCAAGATTCGAGAGTAATCCTTCAACTGCCACTTAAGCATGTTTGAAGTCTTGATCCTTGAACACCTGCCTGAATGCAACCAGCCCTCTTTGTCGATGGTTCCCGCAGTCTTTCCTTCGATCTCCTTGACGTGTTCCGGTCCCAACTCATCTTGGGCAAGGTATCCTTGGGGATCGCGGCCAGGTCTCCAACATGTCATCTGGCAATGCCCCTCCAAGAGGCGAAGGTCTTTGATTACAAGAACAACAAGGGACCATGGCGGGAACATGGCATGCTATGGCTGTGGCTCATAACAAAGAGATGCCGAGCACCATGTCGTCTTGTAGGCTACAGTTCCCAACATGTTCTTCAACACATATGGAATCATAACAAACTTGGAGGCTTAACTGCTGAACTACCATTGCAAGTGATTGCTAGATCCTGAAAAGGGAGAAAATGAGGGAAGCCCTACGCTTGCGTCACCTAGGCACCCATCATGATGTTGCGGCCGCGAAAGCACAGCTCACCCTGGCATGCTTCATCCAGAGAATCCAGTGCATTGGCTAAGGGGCACTCCGTCTTGACGTTGACATCCTCTGGGTCAACCTTTGCAAGCTCTTTCAGCGCCCATGTGGGACATGGGACGGTGCATGCGACAACGAAGCAGCAAAGGAACCGATAACTTGATAACCAGCTCAACTGCGCTGAACACACATAGTTAATTCATGTTCATTCATCTTGATTCCCAGTTTTTCTGCAGTGTTCCGCAGCGATCCAAAACGATGCCTCCTTCTCACATCGACATGCTCTCGACATCATCTCTTTCCCACATACCTCCACGGACTCCGCCGCAGACCTCCACAGCCCCCACGACCCGCCACGACCGGAGTCGGCCTTGAAGGCTTTGACCTCGACACCTGGGAGTTGAAAGCCACAGGAGCCCCACAAATGAACCAAGCTGGTGGAGATGGTGGCCTCGGAAGTGGCTGGAAATCACCGTGCTCTTCCGCAAAAAGGGCCACGTGAAACACACGCGGAAGTCGCATCGCAACATCGCCGGGTCGCAGGTCGCGGTGGTCTATGAAGGTTGTGGAGACGTGCGGTCAGCCGTTCAGTTGCGTGGAACGCCCACTTAGAATCTCAAGCTAAGCCTTCAACAATCCCGTGGCAGAATCGAGGTCAACAAAAGCAGCATGTCTCCGCGGGGGTAAGAAACCTGTATGTCGTTGCAGTATGGCACGGCACGGATGTGTCCATGCACAACAGTGTTTTGTTGCGTGGTGAGAAGCACCAACCGAGACATGTCGGTCCGGTACACTTCCTGGAATCATCATGGAAGTTGGAAAAAAGGGAAAAAGCCTCATGGATGATCATTGTCCTCTACAAACAGGTAGTTTTCCACTGCACTTGTCAGTGTCATTTCTTTATTGCAACAGCCTCACCTTGAATGCCATTCTGAGGCCTGGCAGGGCAAATTACCGGAGGTGTATCCCACATATCCCACTATCAAAGAAACTACTACAGTACATCCTTGGACATCCTTGGATGATGGGTTACCCCCACTTTGTGGTGGTAAGTGGTTCCACTGTTTGCCAAATTCCTTCTGCTGACTTTGACAGGTCAGCTGCTCCGCCAGTGCTTTCAGACATGCCATAGGTCTCATTCACTTGGATACCTCAGTTCCGGGGTCAACCACAGGGCAGGGCAACAGCCGGATGGCCCAAGGTGTTCCTGAGTCAAACATTCACGTCTTTCTATTGTGGTCCTGAGATGCATACACAATGTTGCTTTCTCGAGCTGAAGCCAAGCAGCATAAAACACATACAAAGCAAAGGACATATCATTCTGAAACGGGGTATATGTACACAACTTTCTCATTATATGATATCATAATACACTTTTCCCCAGGTGCATGGCACAGGGAGCGAGCGGTAGATGGCACATGCGCAGGCTACACAGTAGATGGCGCAAGCGCCACTTTGATACACCATAAACCAAAGTGCCAAGTAGGGGCGCCATCTACTATAGACATGGCCTCACGTTCCACATCCCAATCTTCAAACTCTTTTTCCCCCTTTATGTGGTAACATGTTTGCATTGAATATGTCTTTGTTTCCCACATGTGACATGTGCTTATGAGCCATTCGTGAGTGGAAGCATGTCTGACCTCTCAAAAAACAAACGCCATCCATTATCCCCTGTCCAATGCTTGGTTTCTGGGTAAGTTCTCATACCCGTATAGATGGCGCACAAGGTATGAAACCTACATGTTTCAATGCCAAGCACCTTCGGAATAGAGTATATCATATGTGTACCACTTCTGGTTAGAGAGGCTTATAGTAAGATCATTCTGAAAGGATCTGAAAGGGCTTCATTTCGAGGCCGAAGCATCTACGCAAATGCTTACAGCAACCACAGGTGCCATCTGCTCCAGCCGCCCCAAACCCGATCTCTCCGGTACGGGACACGGACGCCGAGGGGCCAAGGGAGCCGAAGAACTCCAAGGTGTCCACGCGGATGGGTGCGGCACCGGTCAAACCAAGCTTCAATTGATCCAGCCCTGGCGGACGCGAACGGCCACGCGAGACGCCCAGCCCCAAAAGGCACGGTGTATATGCGGTATATACCCAGGTATGCCGTGTTGACGGTGTAGATGCGAAGGATCCTGAAGGGAAAGCGTGGGGAATGGTGATGCTTTGGAGTAGAAGCAGTATGAAGCTGGAGGAAACTTGCAAGAACACTGGGCCGTTGCAGTTGCAGCAAGTAATGCAGAATGCAGTGTATGTAGATTATGTAGCACTTGGCTCGGCAAGGCAACATGGTTTTACTGCCAGTCTACGTCCAGGTCGAGATCTTTAGCACGTATTCACGAGGAACATTTCACCAAAAACTGTGGATCGATGCAATCCCGCCCGCTGCAGGCCCCTTGCACCTAGTGCGCCCTTGACTTTTGACAGGACCAGCTTGTCTGCGAAGCCAAAACCTCAGGCTGGCCCAGTCGCAACAGGTATTTTCCATGATCTATGTTCCGCCATGTTCCGTCTAAAAATCTCCTAAAATCTGCTAGGTACTTTACAGAGCCAAACCACTGGTACTGTCTATTCATCTCTTTTCACCAAACTCGAGTGCAACACCCTCCTCTGCCCCAGGCGCCCAAGGGCGTGGAGCCATCACCGGCCAACTGGTGGGACTTGGCCTTCGCCAAGGCTTGGTCTTTGGCCCAAGTGACCAATGCCTGCCGTGAGGCCGGTGGGAGGCCATGGGTCCCCTGAAGGAGATGGGTGGGTCTTTGGCCGAATGGTCTTTTCTAAAGGCTGAAGGAGATGTGTCATCCCGGACGGGTCAAACAAAAGGTGCTTCTAGAGTGAGAAAGAGAGACAGAAGCCATTTATCGACAGTAGCATTCATCAACAGGATGTTCAAGCATCTGAAGGTATCTATAGCCGAAGAACTCATGTTTTACGTATTTGCCCTTCCCATGGGGCCTGATGCTTGATGAGTTGTTGGGAGCCTCCATATCTTAACACTACAGCCCTTTTAGATGAACATGATGGTTCCAATATTTCCCAAATGGAGCCTAGGGGTATGACTTCCGTTGAATGTGAAGTAGGGTAAACAAGAATGAAATGGTAGATGTGGAAATGACCCACCCACCCTTCTCATCACATCGTTCTATTCGCCTTTACGTGGAAGTGACATAGTTCCATATCCCAACCGCACATCATCCACACAAACCAATCCTCCACGGACAAAACTACCCTCATGCCTTCTTCATGCCCTTGTTCTTGGCACCCAGCGCCCTCATGCGGTCTGCGATCTTCTCCCAAACCAGTGGGACTCCAAGGAAGGCAGTCGGCCGGGCCACACATAGCCGGTCTTTCAGGGTGCCTTGCTTCAAGTCATAAGACCTGGGAAGCAGCTTGATGAATTCAGCTGCCCGCCATAGGGGACTGGATAGATTGGCTGGGTGGGTGTGCATTGTAAAATCCTGTAGGGTACATAGGCCTCAAAGTTCGTACCCTGGCAAATGGCGTGAAACAACTGTGATGTGCCCCCGTGCTGAGATTCAACGTGATCCTGAAGTGCTTCTGGCAGGTTGCTCCTCTACAAGTAGCTCGGAACATGTTTGCAGGGATGCGAGATGCATCATTTTTCTGGCGAGGGAGAATTGCATTTCAAGAATCTACACTACACTGTACACGACATGTTCTTTCTGCTGTCGCTGCACATGATTCTTGCACTCCACCTCCCCACCCATCCATCCAGCCATCAATTGCCCCATCCATTCAGACAACTACAGTAGCCAGCCTGGCAAAGAAGGTGGTGGCATAAATCGATGTAGTCGCGGAGGCCACCACTGGGAAGGCAATGTCCACCATAAGGCCAGCCACATGTGACAAGGGCAAGTAGGAAAGAATGCGTTCAGGATTCGGACCACGGCAAAAGCCCATGTGCTCACCTGGAACGCAACTTTTCATGACTTTTCAGGTTCTTCCGTTGCTGTCTTCCAATCATGTTCTCATTATGATATTATATAGTGGTCCCCCCATTCCCTCTGGAAACTGACTGCTTATTGAAGTGGGCTCACTTTTCGTGTACTTTCCTATCTGTTTTAGGGTCACCACAGGTTACCCTTCCTCCAAATGATTCATGAAGTCATGAAGGGAAGCAAACCTCTTCTGGCCACCTGTTGAGGTCTCGCAGGGTGAGGCTGAAGAATCACGTCACTTCACCAGTCCTGCCTGCGATTTTCATGAAGGAGCACACCTCAAAGACCACGTTGTCGTGGCTAATCATCACGGCCTTCGGCTCCCCCGTGGTGCCCGAGGTATACACCAAAGCACAGCAATGGCCAGGCTTCACCTCAGGACCGTCTCCGAGAATCAATTGATTCCAACTGGAGGAGGCCCACGAGTTTCACTCTGTTTTGCTGTTGCCTCACGTATTCTCAACAAAAAAACAAAAAGCATATTGTTTAAGGGATGAGGCCCTGGTATTCAAGACATTTCATCTATGGGACCATCAAAATCAATCCAGCAAAAGACATTGGACTCTACTAGGATGCTTCTGTGCTGTACTCTCATGCGGTTGAGTTGACTTGAGTGCACCAGGTGTACAAGAATGTAAATCTGACGTTGACTTCAACTGGTTGTAAAGCGCTGAGTCGTCCCATTGTAAAAACCTCTGACCCCTCTTATTGGTTTCAGCATCATGTCCTTTATGGGACTAGAAGCTCTGCCTACACTGACCCCTGAAATCAAGCACCCGACCCCAACTCATCAATTATGGCAGTCCCATTCGTCGTCATATGGCAGTCCCATTCGTCGTGTCTGGGAGCACGTGAAGCCGTTGAAGGCCGTGTCAGTTCCCCTCTCTCGCAGGGCGACCCGCGAGTTTGGAAGGCCCAGGGGCCATGGCACTTCGGCCCTCCAACTTGGCATCCAGCTCGCCTTGGATCCAAGCGGCGAGCACAGGCGAGCACAGCGAAGAAGCCCCGATCCCATCATGTAGACTTCTTGATTGAAAGACTATCATCCAAGCCAAATGCGGTGTTTTATGAATCAAGAGTCTACATGAAGTGAAAACGCATGTCCCAAAGTCTTGCCTATAGGCCGGTCTAGCCCGCAGGAACCTGGGACTGGCTGTCCCTGTGAGGCTGACGAGCCCTGTGAGTCTCGCCCCAGCCGCCGGAACCCCTCAGCGGATTTCCTGTCCTGAGCCCAGTGGCTGTCCGATGCGCCCAACTTGGTCAAGGCAGCCCAGCTGATCACGGGCACACTGGCTCCTTTCACCTCCACCCGTTTCCTCAAAGATTCCAAGGATTCAGGACTTGGGTGAGTATTATTATACTATATACACTCCCGAAAACGAACATGGACCCTGAGAATGGCACCCTCAAAGACCGTTTTCTTGTACAAACCTGTGGCTTTTAGGGTCCATATTAGTTTTCCCAGCGGAGTAATCATGAGAAAACGAAAACACGGCGCGAGACTTGGGGTGTATTCGGTGGGAACCCTCCATGATCACTGATGGGCATGCTGCCAATGTACATACCTTAACTTAGCATTGGACGCTGGGGTTCGGGATGGCACTGGATCAGCACGTCAACCCCCCACCAAAAACAACATATCCTGGCAGAAAGTGCTTGCGAAACGCCCATGAGCGATCAAAGCGAAAGCTGTGTGGCATTTCGATTCCAACGATTGACTCGCTTTTTGGCATGGCGCGTCCGATTTGAGTTTTTTCTGCAGGCATGTGCAAGTCGTGTGACTGAGACGATTTACATTTGGCTCATGTGCACATGAGTGTGCATGTATACCTTCAGTGTATGTCATATTGTCCTGCCGAACCTGAAAAGGAGCTGATCCCAACCGGCAAGTTTTATAAACAACTTTCATATGGTAAGGCCAGAATCCTTGATAACAAAAAATAAACGTCGAACAAACGTCAAAAAAATCAACTGGAAAAGTCAAAGTCAAAAAATGACAAATTGAAAAGTCAAAAAAAAATCAGCCATAGAAGATCGAAACTTCCAAGAAAAAAACATGTTTTACAAAAGGTCGAAAAAAAACAGCAATTAAAAAAAAAAAAACAACTCGAAAACGTCAAAAACAAGTCAACAAAAAATCAACAAAAATCAAAAAAACAAACAAACAAAAAAATCGAACAAATAAACGTCAAAATAGTCGGATCTGGGCAAATGGATTTTTTTTACTTTCTGAAACTTACTGATTTGACCTGTTTTTTGACTTTGACTTTTGGGATTGATTGTTTTGACTTGTTTTTTGACTTCTTAAAAAAATTTGAAAACAGGCTCTTTACAATGAATGTTTTTTATTCTTAATAAAGCAAGTTGCTACAAACCACCGATGGATGGATCCATGTGCATCACCAAGCGGCCCTTCCTCAGGTTCATAGGCATAGGTAATGAAGGCCTTCACCTGTCAAAGAGACATGTCACGGCATGTGGGGACCCCCTCCGGCATGTCGCTTCATGGGAAATCAATAGAATTCAATAGAACAACAAGTGGTGCCTGGAACTCCACACCACATCGATGTGGCCCAAAAAACACTACGGCGTGGCGTGGCGTCAAGCATGGATCTTCTGGGGGTGTTTTTTGTTCCTCGTGGGCAGCTTCATGGACAGTTTCAAAAATTAAGACCCGGGACCTGAAGTTCCAAACACTCCACTGCCATCCAAACAGTAGCCATGAACTGCACCTGGGTCGCGCACCTGACATAGACGGACTACCAAGGTACATCGGACATAGGGGTGAAGTATCAGCGTCCAAGTTTCCTTTTCCCTAGCCTTCCAAGAATGAATGTGAAAGGAAAGGTCGGTCTGGTTTGTAGTCTCGGTGCGATGGAACCCTCCGTGTCAATTCCGGCCCAGAGTTTCCAATAACATCACGGAAAGAATCTCCCCCTGACAGTGAATGACAGTGACCATCTCCCGTGTCAGTGTCTTCCATTTCTCACTCTTAAAACCTCAGTTCTAATTTTTCTTCATCTCAACAAAAATTACTTTACTTCGAGTGATCCCCACCATGACATCTTCTTGCATTCTATCTGGCAAACTATCTGGTTGAGGTCCAGCGGTGCACACTGCGATCGGATCCTTGCGGTTGAGGTCCAG